GTATAAGGTTCAGTCGCTTTAATAGGCTAAAAATCATCTAGAACGACTTGGACATATCAAAATACATTATAAAAAAAAATTATAATAAGTTATAACTTTATAAGATACACAACTTTATTTATAAGACTCAAATTTTGTAAAAACATAAGGTAGAAAATAAACAATTTTGATTAAAATTTAGAAATAAATTTGTTCCCAAAATACCATATTTTGGATAATTATTATTGGTTTTGATTCATGCTAGATATTTTGAGATTTTTTTTCCACTTAGTCTTTAACAGGGGTGGCCACAACGAGGCTCGCGAGCCGCATGCGGCTCTTAAATCAATTTCGTGAGGCTCTTGAACCAAACTTAGACTAAAATTAAAAGTAAATAAATGTTCCTTCATTTGTTTTAAAATGAAAAATGTATCTTTATTTTGTAAACATTGCTTTACAATGTGTGGCACACCTCGAATTAATTTTATAAATTTGAGGCACCCAAAGTTAAGGTTAGTGGCCACCCCTGGTCTATAAGAATAATTTGGTTATAAGGCGGTTAAAGAGAACATTGTGATAAATAAGATGAAATAGGATTACTATTATTGATAAACCTATGTTTTCCAAAGGGTGTACCATGTAATTGTAAAGGGGTGCCAAAGTTGCTGTGTATCTATGTAAGTGTTTTCTTTAACTACTTATTTTTGAAAAGAAGTTAGGGAACTGCTTTGGTKACTAATTGTTATGGTTGGTCAGTTTGTTTTTCTATTCAGTACTTTTTTGTTGTTCATATATTATGATTTATACTAAAATAACTTTTTGGTAAATATTTCATGGAATTTTAATATATTTTGACAAAAATAATATAAATATTTATATATGAAAATCCACACCTAAATGGTTGATGATTCGTTATTTTAATTGTATTATTTCAACAACAAATAGTGAAAATAAAATGTTTACATATATAGGTATCATACAAATACATATAAACAAACATATATACTTGTCAATATAATTTTCATTTAGCAATAGTACTAACCAAAACAAATGTCCGCAAATACTGACAACTGCGTCTCTTGCGCTCTCCAAGCATATGTTACACTCAAACATGTTATTCTCATCATCTTTGTCATCACTTTCTTCATTGCTTGTGTTCTTTTGCGAAGAATCTGACTCGTTGCTAATGGTAGCCATCGCGTTCTAACAGGTTCAAAAATAGACACTTAATATCAAAATTTAATAATATTGTAACATCATGCCTAGTAATACCTCATACATTAGAAACAAATCGCACTCGTAACAATAACAAAAATTCAGCCAATTAMCATTATCCGTAAGTTAATTGTTCGTAATTGATGTATTCAACATTATAACTACCTATAGTTTTGATTATCTCCTGTATTAACTTAAACCATTCCTACGTACATCAAGTTTTACGTGATTAATGAAAATGTTACTAT